ATATATATATATATACATATATATATATATAAAATAAATCATAATGGTGTGTCTATATCCTATATTATCAATAAAAATGTCCCCGTGTCCATGTCTACGTAACGTAGAACCTAGCTTTTATAAAAGTACATAGCATCAGTTGATTCTCACATTTTCAAAGCAAAACCTCTTCATTCACTTCCTCCAAGGATTTTCCAAGAAAATATTTATCAATTAAATGGTGGTGAGTTTATACATATATATAACTCCATTAGTAATGTCATGACCAGGCTCAAAACTTGAAATTAACCAAAGCAGAAACAAATGGTTGGACTATCTTATTAATATTTCATTTACTTTTCACAAATTATTATAATTTTCAATTTATAAAGAAAACACTAAAAAACCACAAAATTACAGAAAATCAAATCATCTAGAAACACATAGTCTGTCAGTGAAACATTTCAAACCAGCACATAACAATATTACACTTCTTAGAAGTAAACAGTATAAAAACTACAATCATAATACGCAATAGAATATCTATCAACAATAGTTCTGCAAATCATCATTCATCTGTAAGTCATATTAATCTAATGTTTTTTCTGAAAGCTATCATAAATTTTCAGAAAAAAAGTAGCACCACATATTGAGAAATTATAATTGTTTTATGCATTAAATTAATGTGCAAATGTTGTAAATGAATGTCCTAAGAAAATTAAATTTATTAATAAATCAAATTGTAAACAATCATTTTTAATTTAACTTTTTCTGTTTTAATTTAAATATTTATTATTTTTAACATCTTTAAGAAGGTACATTAGAATTATCATTATACCCAAAGACATCCTCAAAGTTATACTCGTAGGTGCCCTCAAAATGTTAAACTTAAATGCACATCTTTATCATTTTCATTTTATTTTTCAATGTATTTCATATCCTTTAATTACCTTCTTTTAAAGTCATTTAATAATCATTTCCCCTTTTTTATCATTTCAGTCATTTCAATGATTTTTTAACTTAAAAAAAGTATATAACTATAAAAGCATGTATTTGAAGCAATAATGCAAGTCTTTAATTAATAAAACATCAATTTGTGCTTCATTAATTAAAAACAATCATAAAAGAAAACAAATGTCAAATGAAAAGCTGCAGATATATTTTTTGGATATCTGAAACTCTCCCAAGTTGAATGCTTCTCTAATTTGTGCTTCCATAAAATTTTTACAAATAAAAGCATTCTACTCCAAAGCTGTTTAACAACAAACAATCAAATCAAGTTGTATATCAATTGAGCCTGCAATCACCTTATTTGATTCATCAACATACTTCCTAAGTGAAGAAATATGAAAATATCATGCATACCATGCATATGAGCTGGTAAAGCCAATTTACAAGCTAAATGTCCAATCTTCTCCGCAATCTCATATAGACCCACATATCTAGGCTTAATTTTTCCGTCTTTCCAAATCTTTACACACCATTCAAAGAACAAACCTTAATAAAGACAACTTCTACACCTCCAAACTTCAATGGTTTGTGCTTAACATCGTAATATTTTTTGTCTATCCTACACTGTTCTTAATCTGTCTCTGATCAACATAATCTTCTCATTGCATCATCAACCAAGTAAGCTCCAAAGATCTTTCTTTCACCTATTTCAACCTAACATAAACATGTCATGTACATTCTTCCATACAAAGCTTCATATGGGGGCATTCCACTACTAATATGGTAACTATTATCAAATCCAAAACAAAGCATTTGTGATTTTTGAGCCCTCAATTCCCTCCTCCTGCAGTTCCTTCTTTGGGAACGTGTCAGCAGCGTAGACTTAGAGGAAGAGCCAATTTCAAATGCAGGGTATGAGGGAGCAGGAACATTCATCAAATCATTTTCATACAAAATTTCCTTTCCTTTTAATAACGGAACAGCCGGTGCTGCGAAGGTGGAATTGATCTTCACCTTCTTGAAGGAAGGGAAATCATGATCACAATTTAAGTTGAACCTGGAGGACGGTTTCTGAACATCTGAAGCAACCATTTTTGTTATCACATGAGGTGTTTTTCCAAGTAATACTTTGAATCCCTCGAATCCGGACCCAAACCGAATCGTAGAAGCAATGTGACGGGCATCCTTATCGGTGGGCATGTTGAACAGGAAAGTTAAACTTGGCGTCGACATTGCTCCTGTCAATTGTAGATTTCTGAGTGTCCATAGCGTTCAAGACCTTGCAATTTCAACTTAGAAGCTGAAATTAGCACAATTGTCAAGTGAACTGGGTATTTCTTTTAAGTTTTGATTTTAATTTGAAAGATTTTCTTCTCTTTTTTCTTTTTTTTATTTTTTTTTAAAGAACAAATGCTTTGTTTTGGTATTGGGTTTTGAGATTTCAACATTGCCGAAGAAAGTTGAAAAGAAATTTGACGTAATTTGTAAAAAGAACAAACAAATTTCAGAAAAGAAGTGAAGTGATTAAGAGACATAGGAGTCAGCCCAAAATAGGAAATGATTCATTCCACATTGGACCCATTTCAACCTTAGC